TTGAGAAAATTTAGAGTTAAATAAGTAGTCAAAATTGTCCCCAGAAAATAACTTCAGTCATCGTAAATTTAAACGAATAATTTACTCGAATGTAAACTCAAAATCGTCTATTTCTTCATGATGTGCTTCTGCGTACGTAAAATCCCTACTTAAATCCGGTTAATATTTACGGAGTAGTCAGTTGCAGGGGTGAAACAACTTATCGTTGGTGATTATCTTTTAACTGTTTTCTTTCTACAATAGGTCATTGCGACATTCGCTTTTGGCAGCTGAATTGCATAAAGCTTGCACATCATAGACTATCCCAGGCGTTAATGTCCCATGTCCCTGTACTCGCACGTGCTTGGAGTCTCTGCAAATCTTCTGGATCCGCGAAATCTCCCAATTGCTCGATGGAACCCCTACAATTGGCCTAATTACGCTGAAACATTATTTCCCATTCATTACGGACTTGCCGCACTTGTCGGAAATTTAAAAGTATTTTTTTTTAAGGAGGTAGGGGTGCGGGAAAGGGGGAGAAAACAATATACTGCACTAGATTGTTGGCGATTCGTGACGTTTCGCTTGAACAAGTACAAAACAGAAATAAATTGATGGAAATATTTCGATATTTGAGCTAGGGTTGACCCTAGATTGGTCAACATGCGCTCGCTTCGCTCGCTCCGACTGCCGGTGGGTTGAAATTCGATTGGGTTGGTGGTCGCTCGCTTCGCTCGCTCCCATCGCGGGTGGGCTGGAGTGGGCGTAACCCATTACGGGTCAAACCAATAACTTCCCGGCCAATCCCCATTTTTCTGTTTATTAGAAAAAAAAGAAAATTTTGAAATTTCCATCCGGATAACGAGAAAACGGCTGAGACGATTTCGCTCGGCATCCAATCAAAATCGAATGACATGTAGATGCATCAGTCGTACTAAAAAAATCAAATTCCATCATTACTCTCGGCAAAATTGTTGAATTTTCGAAGAAAACCACTTTTTTAATATTTTTCTCACACGTTTTATGCGAATAACTAACGAACCGCTGAGACAAGCATCTTCATAAACTAATCAGTTTTAAGTTACATTAACACGTATCGACTGAAAAAAAATTTCAAATCGCATCATTACTCTGGAAGAAATAGTGGAATGTGTGAAAAAACATTATTTTTCGGGTTTTTTCTCATGTTTTTTGCGAATTACTGAAGAATCGCTGAGTTACATGTCAATATGTTTTCAAAAACGACTCAGGATGATTCTAGGGATCATGAAACGTCAACAAATCATGGAAATTCCACTTTTGATTTCCGGGGTAATTACAATGCCTTCCTCGGGTCGGGAAGTTAATAAATTAATGAAAATTTTTCAAAACTTGCACTGTTAAAAATTTTCATTTAAATGGTCTGTGTCAAATCTCGGAAATTTTTATCATGTTTAATTTCCACTGAAATTTCAGAAAATTTGTAATTGAAAAATCAAATATTCTATTGATTTTCAGTTCAATTATTCCGTGAAAATGCGAAAAAAATCAAGAAAAATTGCAAATTCATGTCATTGTATTCCCTCAATATTCATGGTCCATTGAAAATTCAATCAAGTCGTTAAATTTCCGTCTCTTTCGTAAATCGCACTGAAACTTCATAAATTTTTTTGATTTCTACCTAAAACTTGGAATTTTATAACCATTTTCCTCTAAATCGGATTCAATATCACTCTCATGAGAATTAAAATTTCTATCAAAACGGAATAAACCTTCAAATTAAAAAAATTTCATTTTCATTATTTTATTTCTGTTTTGTACTCTTTTAGTTTCCATAATCCTGTCGAAGCTTAAATTATAACCGAAACCTCGCGAATTGCCAATAATCTAGTGCGGTTTATCGTTTTCTCCGCATTTCCCATGACTACAAACACTTCCTCGACACAAACTATAGAAATGAACAACAATTTCATTAAATTATTTTTTATAACGTTTAATTTCCCTTCTGCTCTCTCTCTCCCTCTCTATCGTTTTCCCTCCCCCCCTTGACTACAAGTTCTTGAAAAAGAAGAATGATAAAAAATCTAAACTACTAGTTAAACAAAACCTTATGTAAGTAATGAAAAATAAACGACTAACTATTGGAAACCTAAATGAAGAGAAAGCCTAATAATTAAGATTATAAATTTACAAAGATATTTACACTTAAAATGAAATTAAAAATGAAATGTAAGGGAGTCTTCTGTGGCAGCATAATATGCAGATACTACTAGTAGGACATTTAAATTAAATAACTGGGTCGTGCGATGTCGCAGAATCCACGTGAATTCGAAATGACTCAATCACTGAGGATTTATAGATTTCGCTCTTCATCGTGGAGGTGTGTGCATTGACGACGGTGATGTAATTAACTAACACGTAATCCCCCTTAATGTTATACTTTTTACCGGTGGTAGAACTCGAATGCCCAACGACTCGATGATTTATCCTCCAACGAAATGTAAAAATAACGAAGAATGGGCATAAAACGCAGTCTCCAGGCGTTTCATAATACGATAAGACTGCCACTGACGAAGTGTTCGAAATGTTTTTAAAATAAAAAATGAAGCAAAAATAATAAAAAAAAAATCTCGATTGGGATATCGATTCGTCGTGGATTCGGGGGCTGCACCCACCACCGGGCAGTTTGTGATATATTTAGTGAAAGAGGACAGAAAATAAAGAGAAAAAAAGTCGGAAAAAAATGGTTGTTATTAAGAATAAAAAGAATGACGAGAAAGATACGCCTAGCGATATTACATCCACACTTACACACTACAATTATTATAGTGATATACGAATAAATAATCAGTAATTTGTGTTGCTGAGGAGTGATGAAGGAACAATTGTAGCAATAAAATTCGTCGTGACGGTGATTAAAATTTTTTTATTGCAATTTTTCACAGTGGCTGGGGTTTTTTTTCCATTTTTGTTATGATGAAGACGTAGTTGATGACGATAGAGACAATGACACGTGAGATGATGCGAATAATCAGCCACTGCCGGTGAAGAATTGAATAAAATACGAGTGATATAACGGGAGATGCGTTTAATATTAATGGAGGAGTGAAGAAATGATGAAAATTTAAAATTAATTGATGAATACATAACGATGACACTCACACACACTATATATTGTAATATTATTTTTCGAAACTAGTAATGTAATGTAGATTATATTATAATAATGATATTGTAATAATCATTTCGTAATAGAATTAGGAGAGGATGGTGGTTGATGGATTTAAGAGAATAAATTTCAAAGTGGGTCGCATCGTGGCGTGGGACTGAATGTCGTCGGTAACAAGTATTTTCAACAATTTTCTCCAGTATTTTGACTCACGGAAAAAAGTATACTTGAGTTGAGTATATTTTATACTCGAATGGGGGATGACTGTTTCAATTCGAGGATGATTATTTCGCATCAGCCCGGGCTGCACGAAGCGCTCTCGAATGTAATGTAAGGGTCAGACACTGAATGTGAGAATATAAGGGTCAAAAAATGAGGTTAAAAAATGAGGGTCGGAATATTAGAGTGAAAAACTGAGGGCCTGAATGTAAAGGTGAAGGAATGAGGGTCATGTAAGGGGCAAAACGGTGATCAAGCATAATATATGACTTATACTTAGACCCTCATTGTCTGACACCCACTTTTTTAAATTTTATATTCTGACCCTAATCTTTTGACCCTCATTTTTTAACCTCCACTTTTTGACCCTTATATTCTGAGACTTAGTGTCAGAATTAAAATGCCCATCCCCCAATTGAGTATAAAAGACACTTGAATCGATTTTTTTTCCGTGCTTGAGTTTTTTTCAATTAATTATGAGAGTAAAAGATCAGGGGACATTCAGTCCGGGCGCTAGTGACAAGTGTACTGCCGAACAAAAAAATGAAATGAAAAAAATTCAACTGCTCCGTTTCTTCCGAAATACCACAGTCATATATATTTTCCTTTCAATATTTCAATCCCACTGAGCACACAAAGTCATTAGAAGAAACATTTTTTTTATAAAACACAACCACTGGCAGCTGGAAATAACCGTTATGATTTCATCGAGTGAAACTAAAGTCAAAATAAAAAAAATCTAAAATTTTATAAAAATGCAATGAAAATTTATTATTTTGTTTAATTAAACGTTTTTTTAATACTCATGGTATGAATGTTTTTACGATTAAATTGTACAAATATGCTGGCATGTTGAAAAAAAAGGGAAGAGGAACCAAATGACGTGAGAAAGAAGAAAAAGAGACAGACATTTTCTCGACAATGTACAAGTGAATTTCGAGATATTTTCGAGTTCTCATTTTTCCAGTGAATAATTTGTTGTCTGAACTTGACATTTTCTATGACGATAATCCCGGATCACTCTCAACATTGAGAATTCTCGAGAGCCACTTGTGCACGGAGATTTAGATTAACAAATAACGTGGACTGGAAGAATAAAAAAAAAGCATTGTGATGTCCGTATGATCAAATGTGTTGAGAGATAAAAAAAATAGGCCCACTGGTTGTGGCCCAACATTTCCGAGTACACTATGAATAATAAACATTATGTAAAAATTTATAACATCACTGAGTTCATTCAATGCCAAATCCTCCTCCAGTCCTGGGAAATTAATCCTAAATGTGTCAGTCCTGACGGAAAAAACCTGACAAAGACGGCAGTTTACTCACGTCATCATTAAAGTGGTCATCATTAATGTTATATATTAGTGTAATATGAAAATTTAACGGCCGATAAATTGGGGCATATGATTCTCATCGGTCGTGTTGCTTTCTGCCATGAGAATGATTACAAACAATTAATTGAAAGAAGAAATAGCGAATCTCACAGGAAAAAGAAATTCCGACGAAGAGGAAACAAAAATTTCTCATCAACGTTGAACAACCTCAGCTCATAATTATCAACAACTGTTGGGATGACGTCAATAAAGTTTACAAAGGCAGTGATAACACTATCATGAAGTCACTATGAATAAACCCAATTAACCCAATTAACTTTCACTTAAATAGATATTTATTATTGTCAATTTTACATTTTACATAGCAGCTGTAGTGATATGATCGGACGAAATTCTTTTCTTTGAATTGCTATAATAAGAGACCCATTATGGCTTATTTTCATAACTGCCGGAATCGCTGTCGATAATACTCTCCATACTTTGACTTCATTAGGCGGAAGATTCCATGGAAGATTAATCATTTGAAGAAAGTCATTACAAACAATATTGAAAAATAATTTCGGCTGCGCAATGTCTCACTTGCGTATTCAAATAATTCGCCATTCTTCAATAGAATTTTTCTCTCGAGACTTCCGGAAGTAATCGAAGCTCACCCAATGCAGTTTCAACCAAATTGACGGCATAGATCGATAATTCTCAGGCTATTTAATCAATAAAACACTCCACTCGCCATTATTATCGTTAACTCTACCATCACTGGGAATCAGTCTGATCCGTTACCGTTTGGAAGGCGATTTTCGGAGTATCATAATCATCCTGATGATAATTTATTGTTTGCGCATACCTCACTATCTCCAGGGCTCCGATTCGTCGAACATGTGCATTATATTGTCACGCAGCATTTTTTCTTGATCTGGAAACCACAGTGGCATCACGGGAACGAACAAGAGATCACTCCCAAAAAAAAGGAAAAAAAAAATCGAAATACAGTAGAGGTTTCGTATAAGATACCTTAGGGACAGTTGGAGAGTGGAATTCCAGGAACCCTTATGCCCCCACTACGCGCTCCCATAGAGAGGAGAAAAATATGGACACGGAGAGAAATATTCAATAAAAATTACCAGAAAAAAGACGTAAAAATTACGTTTCGAAACGTAATCTGGGAGCGAAGTAAAATTCAATAAAAAGTGTCAATCGTCACGTAAATTTTACGATCTATTCCGTAAAAATTACTCATCCGTCCGGCGCCTCACGGCTAGCCATGAGTCACCGTGAGGGGGAGATTTTAACGACACGTTCCGTAATTTTTCCGGAACTTTTCGTAAAAATTCTTAAACATCCAAGAATTTTCATGTTCTGAGGCATAATAAGTCTCGGAGCGCGAGGTATCTTATAGAGAGGTATCTTATACGGAGCCTCCACCGTAAAATAAAAAATAAAAAAAATAAGAATAAAAAATGCAAATAAAATGAAAAATAGGTAAATAAAATGCATTGAGTTCGTTTACCTGGGGTTAAATTAGCTATTACACATTGTTTTCGAAGAAATTCCAAGCAGAGACTTCTCGCCAGTCCGAAGGCGTGCATGTTGCACGTGAAAGTGCTGGAAGAAAAATATTTTTTCAATTACATAAATTTTTTTTTATTTCATATTTTTCGTGTTTTTATGATTTTTAACCCTAGACTGGTCACCGTGCGAGGGAATTGCCGAAATACGTCGTTTTATTCACCTTGCCAAAGACTGGTTGACCGGAAAAATTTGAGAAAAATTGAATTCGTCAATTGAAGTATCTGGAAAATTCTAGTATTTTTTTTTTCAATATTGTATCCTTAATTCTGGGAGAAAAAAAATTATTTCCAACAGGTGAACAATTTTTTCCCGTGTTAAATGAAATTGCCTGTTGCGCGACGTTGCTGGGAACTCGCTAAACGCGCCCGGGAAGTGTAGAGTGGATTCGGCAACGCTGGAGCCTAAATAACAGGGCGGAACTCTCCCGCGAAGGTGACTAAAGTCGCATTTTCCCGTCCGGTGACCAGACTATGGTTAATCATTTTAGTGGTTTGGGTATTTTGAATTTATCGTTTAGTATCTTTGTTGATCACGAATTTCCAAATTTGTCCTGATGATTTTTGAAAATGAGGGAATAGTGGCACTTGAATTCTCAATGTTGTGAAATTGAATTCAATTTATATTCAGAATAATCAGATTTTCCATGTTAGATTATCACTGATATTTCAATGACATCTAGAATTTTCAAATTCATTGCGAAAATTGAATATCACATCCAACTGAATTTTCAGAGGATGGAAAATTCAGGAAAATTATTGCCTGAATTTTCAAATTATTACATAATAATAATCCGATAAAACTTTTAGCCTCCAATTCTCAATTTCTGTCATTTATTCTATTCATTCTATCAAAAGACAAAGATAGAAATCGAATTTATCGATGTTCTTCTATTATTCGAAACATATCGATTTTAAAACTTTCAGGAAAAATTATTGAAAAATTATTTTTTTTATTTCTTTGGCAATTTTCAACTAGCGATTTTGTTGGCCCAATCAACTTGTTTGGCGTGTTTGTTTTTCTCTCAGTGTAGGATCATTCATCTTCCGTTAAATAATAAAAAATGAATTTCACATCGCAATTTTGTATTCTCTCCGTGCAATGCCCCATTCAAAAAGACATATCATTTACCCCAATTGTCCAAAGACAATATTCGCCTGGAACTTGCGATCCTCAGCAGCCAGTGCCTCTTGATCCAAGGCCTTGGACCTCGATGGCACAGGGCGCATGGCCCTCTCGCACTGCACAGCATCGAAAAATGCAGCTGTCCAGAACCTCATGGAGGACCAGATCGGTTGCACTCTCAGATGAGTGTACAGATACTCCCTGTATGGCTCCAGCCCCGGCACCTCCACTGCAACGACATCAATCAAAAAAGCAATAACTCCCCTTTGTCCCCCATATTCCCCGGACGATATAAATTGGCGAATATTCTTCACACCTTTATGATAAAATGTGAAACACATATTCATGAGGCTCTTTGCCGGCGCAAAGTCATCAGCCTCGTGGCACTCGAAGAGCGCCAGTGCAAAGTGCTGAGCCAAAGAGTAAAAGGACGCCTCAGTGACACAGGCGCGTGCTCTTCTTGCATTCACCACTCTTGCAAACCAAATTCTACCGGACTCTGTCTGTTCAGGAAGAAAAATAACGAGTTATTGAATGTTGCTATTGGTTTATGATGTTTGGTCCAACAGTCATCTGCATACATACGAGGACCATCTGGCCAAAGTTTGCTTTTTGCTCCTGATCGATTGTATCGGGAGCGTCAAAAAGAAGTGGCACAAAGGTTTTCATAAAATCTGCGGCGGCCTCTTCTGATTGACTGTCGGCCGACAAGCTCGATGCCCATGATTGCACTGATCCAGAGGAGCCTGTCAAAGCCAGGACAAATATTTGATGTTTATATTTAGTTACGTGTCACGGATGAAATTTCAGATTTTTGTGTGAGGTGGTGGTATAAACACTTCTCTAGGGAATAGGAAATCTCCACGTTTCAGGTGATTTCGAGTCTTCTGAGCTTGACTTTTCGAGACAAAATTTTTTTACTTTTTTAAAGGGAATTTTTCAATTTTTTGAAAATTTGGGCCAAAAAGTCGTATGGAGTTGCTCCCAGGGAATAGGAAATGTCCACGTTTCAGATGATTTCGAGTCATCTAAGCTTAACTTTTCGAGACTTTTTTTAACAATTTTTTAAAGGAATTTTTCACGAAAAAAAATTGAAGGAAATTATTTGAAAGCTAGGGGGCCAAGCCCCCTGCTCGCTTTGCTCGCCAACCGCCATATGACCCTCATCATCCTTATTCTGATCCTTGTGACCCTCAATATGACCCTCGTGACCCTCATTCTGACCCTCGTTATACCCCTTGTGACCCTTAATCTGACCCATATAACCTTAATCTGACCTTTATTTTAACCCTTGACCCTCAATCTGACCCTTAATCTGACCCTTATTCTGACCTTTGTGACCCTCAATCTGACCCTTATGATCCTTAATGTGGCCCTTATTTTAACCCTTGCGACCCTCAATCTGACCCTTATGACCCCTAATGTGGCCCTTATTTTAACCCTCGCGACCATCAATCTAACCCGTATGACCCTCAATCTAACCCTTATGACCCTTAATTTGATCCTTGTAGCCCTTAATCTGACCCTCGTGGCGCTTATTTTGACCCTCATGAACCTGATTCTCAATCTTGTAACCCTTATGACCCTTGTACTGACCCTCACGACCATTATTTTGACCCCCTTGACCCTCATTTTGACCCTTGTGACACGTATTTTGAACCTCATGACCCTTAGGACCCTTATTCTGGCCTTCATGACCATCACTTGACCCGGGTGACCCTTAAGACCGTTATTCTGATCCACATGACCCTTATTTTACCCTTACGACCCTTATTCTGACCCTTAATTGTGGAGTCTTAATTTCGAATACCAAATTATTATCATCAGAAGTCAATTTGGATGTTTCTAATATTGGGAGAAATTAAAAAAACGATTTTAATTAACGGGTGCGTCACTGGTAATTCACAATTTGACGAAAAAATTAATGAAACTGTGAATTTCAGTTTTTGTTGAATTTCGTATTCGAAAAGATGTTTTGAAATATCCAGTAATTTTTTTGAGGGAAATTTTGTCCGTGAAATGGTCTCAGCGGGAGTTCTCTAGAATGGGTTATCTATTCCTTTTAAAATCCTCATGAATAAAAGGAAAAAAGAAAGAGTGATGAATGCATGAAATACCTGATCTCTCCCACATCCTACGACCATCCATATTTGAATCTAAACTCGTACTAGGTCCATATCCATCCAGATCACTAGTCGATCCACTACTACACGGAATATCTATAATAACACCATTCATAATTCATTATCGCGGATAAATAACAACTCAAGGTGTTTCTAAAAGCACATCAATTTTCTATCGTCACTACAATAGACAGTCCAGACAATTCTACCAAACAATAAGCAATACATCAGTACTCCACTGACATAAAGCCAGAACTTTGTTCACAGGAATTTTACAATTCCATATCACCAAGTGGATACCATTCTCCAACAGTTATCATTGCAAAGGGAACATTTAACTAATAATAAGTGGGAGAACAGTGATGCAAATAAATACACAGGGATCTGGCAACTCACACGTTGTAATTAAGACATTAATCATTTCATTTTTCATTTATTAATTTACCTAAACAAAAAACGACCGTCTCATAGCGATCTGGAGCCCTTGCTTTTAGTGGAAAAAGAATATTTTGAGAGTTGTTTCTTCAATGGACGATTGTTCGGGGGAGGTTTACCCTGGAAATACACATTTACGTTTTTCGAGAAAGGATAAATCACAGGACTTTTTCTTATTGCTGAAGTGGTACTATTTTTCGCCTAGTTTTTCCTCAGGAATCAGATTTTGAAGGAATTAGATATTCAATTCGGTAGCGAAGCGGTAAACCGGGTTAAGTCGATTTTGACTTTTGGGCATTTTTTGACAAATATCTCGGAATCTAAGAGAGATAGCAAAATTTTGTTCATTACCTTTTTTATAACCCTCAGTTGGCTCTACAAAAAAGGTCATGACAAAAATTTTTCTATCTCTTTTAGATTCCCAGATATTCGTCAAAAACTGGCCAATAGTCAAAATCGACTTAACCCGGTTTACCGCTTCGCTACTGAATTTTTTTTCACCCAAAATTGAACTTCAAGGAATCCGTAATAAACTCTAGTCACTATTTTTTATTTCTTAACAACTGGACAATTATTTCTTAACAATTGCCATTTTTTATGAATGAGAATAGTAATTGTTGCTAAAGAATTAATTATTTGCTTCCGAATGGCTTGTTATTCTCTCAGTCTACACGGAGAGAAATATTCAATAAAAATTACCAGAAAAAAAAAGTAAAAATTACGTTTCGACACGTAATCTCGGAGCGAAGTAAAATTCAATAAAAAGTGTCAATCGTCACGTAAATTCTACGATCTGTTCCGTAAAAATTACTCATCCGTCCGACGCCTCACGGCTAGCCATGAGTTACCGTGAGGGGGAGATTTTAACAACACGTTCCGTAATTTTTCCGGAACTTTTCGTAAAAATTCTTAAACATCCAAGAATTTTCATGGTCTGAGGCATAATAAGTCTTGAAGTTTCTGTTAGATTTTACAACTTCCAGAAAAATTACGTGACTTTTTCGTATTTTTTCGGTGACAGACCCGAAAATTTACTGAACGTTTCAGATTTATTCTCTTATATTCCTATAGAAATTCACTGAAAACGATTCTCGCTTGCGGATTACGTGAAATGTTCCGTAATTTTTCTTGAATATTTCTCTCCGTGAATACAGATTTGGATTCCCGTGCAAAAATCGTGCGAAAAATAGTGATTTCATTTATTCTCCCTCAAAAAAATAAGTTTTTGATTTCAGGGTGACTCTTCCCTCGAACAGCAAATAAAAACGAGTTATAACGAGATACTGATATTCAGACATGTATTGATGCACTATTCCATTTGCTGCAGTTCTCACCGGTTTTGTAATTGAGTTTGTCAAAGGGATCGGGACCAGTTGCTTTGATATCTTCCTCCTGAAGCGGCTCGATGCTCTCAACGCTCGATCTGTCGGGACTGATCTCTTCGTCAGTCTTCACTTCCGGTTTGTGAACAATTGGCGCTCTTGAAGACGCTATTTCCTCGTACGTCATTCCTGGTGGGAATTTGCGGTTGTTTCGGGAGTACTCGGGGCACGTTTGGCGCTGCAGCTTGTGCCTGGCCATTGCCTCGTAGTCTTCGTACGAATATCCACTGAAGCTTAATCAAAAGATCACGATCATGTTTTTATTGAGAGCTCTCCGAATTTTTGTAAGAGACAGCCGGCTTTAGGCATCGTATGTTTGAGAGTTCTTTAATTCAGCAGCGAAGTGGTAAAACGGTTTAAGGCGACTCATCTCCCAGTTGAGTTTTTGAGAAATATTTCTGAATCTATGGGAGATAGCGAAATTTTCGTAATTACATTTGTTGTAGCTCTCAATCGGTTCTACAAAAAAGGTTATGACAAAAATTTTACTATCTCCCTTAGATTCCGAGATATTCATTGAAAACTGGTCAACAGTCAAAATTCGCTGGTACCGTTTTACCACTTCGCTACTGAATTAATTCTCAAATGAGAACATTCACAACATCATTTATCGGTAAAACGGTGGTAAAACGGTTTAAGGCGACTTCTCTCCCAGTTGAGTTTTTGAGAAATATTTCTTTTTTTTTTTTCTTTTATTTAAGGAGAAATATTTCTGAATCTAAGGGAGATAGCGAAATTTTCGTAATTACATTTGTTGTAGCTCTCAATCGGTTCTACAAAAAAGGTTATGACAAAAATTTCGCTATCTTCCTTAGATTTCGAGATATTCATTGAAAACTGGTCAACAGTCAAAATTCGCTGGTACCGTTTTACCACTTCGCTACTGAATTAATTCTCAAATGAGAACATTCACAACATCATTTATCGGTAAAACGGTGGTAAAACGGTTTAAGGCGACTTCTCTCCCAGTTGAGTTTTTGAGAAATATTTCTTTATCTATGGGAGATGACGAAATTTTCGTAATTACATTTGTTGTAGCTCTCAATCGGTTCTACAAAAAAGGTTATGACAAAAATGTCGCTATCTCCCTTAGATTCCGAGATATTCATTGAAAACTGGTCAACAGTCGAAATTCGCTGGTACCGTTTTACGCTACTGAATTAGTTCCCAAATGAGAACATTCACAACATCATTTATCCAATGAGAAATTCTATGCGACGGTTTTTCTATAATTGAGCTTTTTAGATTCGGATTCTTTTGATTATAATAAATAAGAAAAGCGCTACGAAACGTTTCTGATTTTTTTGCAATTCATACTAAGATAATATTCAATAAATTTTCGATTTCCGTTTCGTTATTCATAGTTTTTCATAATTTTATTCAAATAAATTTACGGCTGAGTGGCATTTTAACAATTACGATCATTTTGCATGCCTGTTGAGCGGAGCGGGAGGGAAGGTGTGAGGGAAATGTTACCGAGGCAGACGAAGCTTCCTTCTAGCCACACCATCGACTTGATCCTTCCCCAGATCGTTCCCTGGGGAGGGGGAGGGCGGTGAGGATGGGGTGGTGATGTCGCTCTCCTCGAAGCTGCTGCTGATGGCTGAACCGATCCGGTTCCCCAGGCCCTGGAGGTATTCACCGCCACCTCCGAGCGCGGTGCGCATCGACTTCAGGGCTCCTCGGGTCTTTCCCATCAAGGAACCACCGTTTGTCGATGGCAGGGGGGTGGTTACGTCAACCATGTTCTAGGAGAGACGATTTTTTTATTTAAGGGTGCCAAGTGAATTTGAAAAAAGATTTTAAAAAAATTCTTAAACATCCAAGAATTTTCATGTTCTGAGGCATGTGAATTTGAAAAAAGATTCAAAAAAAATTTTTTTCTTTCCCTCCATCATTGGAGAAATATGGATTCATCCATCCGACGAAATTTCAAACCAGCAACCGGAACTAGACATCGAGAAAATAAATGCGGAAAATCCTCTATTTCGCGTGACGAACCTCGAGAATGCATGAGATCAAATGGGTACGGCGGGTTGAAATATCTCTCTTATTCACCCCGGTACACCATTGTTTTTTGTCGCCATCACATTGAACACATCATTCCCCATATCTTCAAATTTTTTCAAATTTTTCTTGAGTTCCTAGGGGGTTGAAACGTTCAATTTAATCAAAACTCCATAAGGGGTCGTGTATAAGACTGATTTTGTTTATTTAATTTCTCGATATCCATAAGTTCTAAAATTTTAAAATTNAGGCCGTGTATAAGACTGATTTTGTTTATTTAATTTCTCGATATCCATAAGTTCTAAAATTTTCGAATTATCACCGATGTTCACCATCTGTCTAATACTATTAATTAAAAAAATGATAACTTTGTTGGTGAATGTCAATTTTCAAGGTCATCGCCAAAATCACTTGGCACCCTTAAGTGGAGACTACTGTGAATTTTAAAAGTCGTGGGTTATTGGAGTGAGACTTTTCATACGTTGAAGATCGATTATATAGATCTGAAAACGAGTAATTACTGCAAAAAAACATTTTTTTTATTGTTCGTTTGCCCGAAAACGGTTAAAATGGTAAAAACAGTCCAGGGCCTCCAATTTTTGAGCTACAAAAGATTTTTTTNGAATTATCACCGATGTTCACCATCTGTCTAATACTATTAATTAAAAAAATGATAACTTTGTTGGTGAATGTCAATTTTCAAGGTCATCGCCAAAATCACTTGGCACCCTTAAGTGGAGACTACTGTGAATTTTAAAAGTCGTGGGTTATTGGAGTGAGACTTTTCATACGTTGAAGATCGATTATATAGATCTGAAAACGAATAATTACTGCAAAAAAACATTTTTTTTATTGTTCGTTTGCCCGAAAACGCTTAAAATGCTAAAAACAGTCCAGGGCCTCCAATTTTTGAGCTACAAAAGATTTTTTTTTCAAAATTTTCGGAAAAATGTATAGAACAACAATTACGAGTCAGTTTTTTGGAATTCGACTCCTACACAGCCGATTTGTTTTTTTTTTCACATAAAAAAATTCACTATTTGTGGAAAAAAATACAAAAAAGCAAATTTAGCCATGTAAAGAGGCGAATTGAAAAAAAAATAGCTCGTAATTATTATTCCACATATTTTTCCGAAAATTAAAAAAAAAAATCATTCGTAGCTCAAAAATTGGAGGCCCTGGACTGTTTTTGGCATTTTAAGCGTTTTCGGGCAAACGAACAATGAAAAAAAATTTTTTTTTGCACTAATTATTCAGTTTTCAGATCTATATAACCGATCTTCAACGTATGAAAAGTCTCACTCCGATAACTCACGACTTTTAAAACTCAGTAGTCTCCCCTTAAGGAAAACCTGACAAGTAACATTAAGGAAAAACAATCGCCCAACCTCAAGATATGCAGCAACTATTCAAAATTAGTCCACTGACCTGGAATTTTTCCCTCAAAGCGATTGAAAGTATTATGAATAAACTCCAGTTGAGTCGTTGAGTGTAACGAGGAAAAATGAATTCGAAAAACCGAAAAATAATCATTCATCACTGATAATCTTCGCCCTGGTTTTTTCGACCAATATCCCCGAATCTAAGGAAGATACCGCAATTTTTGTAATGACTTTTTTTGTGCCTCTCAATTAGCTCTACAAAAAAGGTCGTAACAAAAATTTCGCTATCTACGTTAGATTCCGAGATATTCACTGATAACTGACCTATATAATTTTGCACTTCCGGATTAATTGCACAGACTCAACCAAAATGTTTCTATTTATATTAACTTACGTTTAGAATGTATTTCGCATTTTACTCTTCAAAATTCAAATGATGTTGACACAACTTTAACAATCTTTCCTAGCGAGGCGAATCTAGAAAACCAAGTTGTCCTCGAAACGATATCGCGCTCATTTCAGTGGCATATCTGCCAGCCGGTAGAGTTCTCAAGGCAATACAACAACGATAAGGAGTCTAAACCACATTGTCAATGTGCGTTAGACACCATCAAATCGCAATCAGAAATTGCTCAAATCAATATTAAAGAATGACATAAGATTGACTCTTAACTGACGGGTTGCAGAAGAAAAAATAATCGAAAAACAATTCAACAGAATTAAACCAAACGTACTATCAGTCCAGCAGTTAATGTTCCACTTCTGATTTCCTGCTGCTATGATATAACCGGAACCGGCGACTCACGTCATTAAACGGCCGAATGAAAGAAAAATAGAGGCAAAATCGTCTGGAAAATTCACTGAACGGTTTAATCACAATAATTCAACGCGAACTCATCATTTAAACCTTGAAAAACAAATTTGTCTCTAATCAGTCTAAGAGAACTGCCAACGAAGCAAATATTCTCCAGCATATGCGAGCCTCATCGAAGAAACTGGTGCAACGGATCCCTCAGATATTCAATTAAAGGTAATTCCCGATGGTTTTGAATCGATCAGGGGCAATCAATCCTCCGGAGTTGGTCATTTAACGCGAGAAATTGAACGGATGTCGTCTATTGTCGTGGGATCACAATGGATACCTGAATGGAACACCTGTAACCGGCGATTTTATCTAGTATATTGATTGACGAGTTATTTTTTTCCCACTGCACTGCGTCTCATTTCCCCGCTCATTATAAATCGATTGACTTTCTTTTCACGGAAGAATTGAAGGATTCACTTCGATCCTCGCGACATCAATTGATTCTTCCATAAAAATAAATTTAAAAAATTGAACTCAACTGACAGCTAAATCCCATATTTTAACGGATTACTGTAAGAATAAATAAATATAGATTCGAATATTTTTGTACCTGATGTTTCGTCAATCCCAGCGAATGAATACCTCTCCGTCATCAAAATATTCCGCCGAATAAACGAAAACGATCACTCGGGAAAATAAACAATCATCGGTTGATCACCACATGAATTCTATTTTTTTTCTGTAAACTCAGTCCACTGCTTTCCTCAAAGACCGCGCAATGACAGCTAGCACGTGACAAAATTGCAGATCTGCGCAGTCACAGAGTCGAATCAATACTGCAAAGCCGCCCGCATACGTACTAGTTCCACTTTAAATCATGCTGTTGCATAAAATTTCATTTCCACAACTGCAATGCACCTGTTTCTCGTGAGGGGTCGGCGATAATATTATTGGATTTAATTGAGTAATAATCTGGGAGCGATCGAAGGGGCGGGGTTATTGACGTTGTTTAGAATCAATCGCGGAATGAAAATAAATTAGATATAAAGTTATTCCTCAGCGTTGGAGAACGATTAACTTTATTTCATTTCAATTAACTTTAAATCATCAATATTCAGCATCATTCACATCACAGTTTGCACCGAATTATTAATTTTCTACACATTCGTTGTTTATAAATAATTGAAATAATAAATGACTGAAATTGTTTAAACTTTCGGGAAGCTTATTTTTTAGTCATAAAATCGATTTCTGGTAAAATTCTGAATATGAATAAATTTGTTACGATTCTGAACAAATGTTGACGGTGAAAATAATAGTTGTGAAGGTCATAACGGTCAGAATAAGGATCACGAGGGTCACATTGAAGGTCACTGGGGTGAGAATAAGGGTCACGAGGGTCAGATTAAGCATCGAGAGTCAGATTAAGGGTCATAGGGGTCAGATTAAGCATCGCGAGTCAGATTAAAGGGCACAGGGGTCAGATTAAGGGTCACGAGGATCAAATAAGGATCAGAATAAGGATTATGGGGGTCATGTGTGGGTCATATGGGGGTTGGCGAGCGGAGCGAGCAGGGGGCGTAGCTGTAAAATTATACAAAAAATTCACCGAATTCGGAATTTATCAATCTACCCTGAATTCGTTTTTCAAGAAGATCGTAAGAACCGTTTTCTCATAAGATGGAAAAATCGAGTTCGGGGTGACCCATAACCCCCGTTTTGTCTATGCCTCACCGGCTAAAACCCCTCATTTCATTATTTATTATCTCCCGAACTGTGTACTACAGCTAGTTAGATTTTTTATCAATAGCCGGGATCTGTTATAAATATTATCTATGAAAAACATGAATTTGACGACCCCTGTTCACCATTGACATGAAATTAAAAACGAATATTCCTTTGATTTCGAATTTATTTTGGTATCAGCATGCCTCATTCTCACTCACTCATTACTTCATAAATAGTCTCCACTTAGAAACTATGTTTTGTTTATAAAAACAGTTTGAGAGTAATTGATTCTATTTTTATAAGTGTTTACATAAATCAATGGCATTGTTTTAATAAGATTAATTTACATATTGACAATGTTTAATTTACAAAAGGGTGGGTGACGTGGCCTTTATAAGTTTAAAATTGTAACATACGAGGGTGAAAATTAATTGAATGAAGGAGATTATCTTTCTGGGGCGACTGGCGATGAATTCACTTCCACGCCTGCTTCTGTGCTTTCTGCGATGCCAATTTTTTTGTTACGTAGGATGAGATCAAGAGAGCTGCGAGGACTATCACGATGAGATAGTAATCAAAGTCTTCTTTCAGGACGTCGAATGTCTTCGATGGCGCAACTCTTGTGTAGAATAAATCTGGAATTTGGAGGGAATATGAGTGCATTGTTTGGAAAATATTCTTGACATTTTTAACAGCGACTGATTGGTATAAAAATTATGAAAAAGGAAGCAAGTTTAGACAATTATTGTTCTGAATTTTCAGCTAATTTACATTTAATTAAATTTCCTGGATAATTTCATCTTGAATTGAATTCAAATTCACAAAATTGGAAATTTACGGATTTAAATTGCCAGAAAATTCCCAAGCAATTTCAATTCAGTTGAACCTAGTTTTGAATTTTTACGATGAATTGGGCGATTTAATCGAAATCCCATGAACAATTTTATCTTAAATTGAATTTAAATTTAACAAATGAAGATTCACATCTAGCTGTTACTAAAATCTCAAAAAAATTAACTATGAATTTTTAATGATGGAGATAATTACCAAGTCCATGTGCAAAAATTAAACAGGTACTTTCAAGGCCACTGGGACTCGTGTAAATTCCTGATACCCTGAATACACTTTGGTTGTAGTTGATGATGGCATCCATATGAATTGGTATCTCTGGCATGTAAGGAATTACACCCTCTTCTCGCAATTCAGGATTGGTGGGTCGTCTTGGATCCAGCATCATCCAGGGTAACTCCAGGATTCCACCATTAGCTAGAGCCACTGCAAATAAAGTACCAAGAAAATGAACAAAATGAGATCAATGAGATGGGGAATAAATTGATGAATTCGAAAACTTTTCCCTTGACAAAATGATCTATTATATAAAACGGAATCCTTTTCATTTTTCGACACATTGAGTGTTTAACACAATGTAGGTATTGAAATATACTAAACTGACACGTATCAACCCAATTAAATACTGTGCTATCTGAATTTCAGATACCATAATTCAAACTTGAAAATGTGCCATTTGTTCTTTGCAATTAGACAAGTATAACTTAAGCATATTGGAATTAAAAAAAAACAAATCTGTCAAAGAATTCATGCAAAAAAAATATTAAAAGGAATCTATTCATTTTTTTTGACACATTTGATGTTGAAATATATTGAACAAAATTAAATACTATGCCATCTGAATTCCACATGGCACAATTCAAACTTGAAAATGTGCTATTTGTTCTCTGCAATTAGACAAGTATAACTTAAGCATATTGGAATTAAAAAAAAAAAAAACTGTCAAAGAATTCATGCAAAAAAAATATTAAAAAATGGAATCTATTCATTTTGTGACACATTTGATGTTGAAATATATTGAACAAAATTAAATACTATGCCATCTGAATTCCACATGGCACAATTCAAACTTGAAAATGTGCTATTTGTTCTCTGCAATTAGACAAGTATAACTTAAGCATATTGGAATTAAAAAAAAAAAAAACTGTCAAAGAATTCATGCAAAAAAAATATTAAAAAATGGAATCTATTCATTTTGTGACACATTTGATGTTGAAATATATTGAACAAAATTAAATACTATGCCATCTGAATTCCACATGGCACAATTCAAACTTGAAAATGTGCTATTTGTTCTCTGCAATTAGACAAGTATAACTTAAGCATATTGGAATTAAAAAAAAAAAAAAATCTGTCAAAGAATTCATGCAAAAAAAATATTAAAAAATGGAATCTATTCATTTTGTGACACATTTGATGTTGAAATATATTGAACAAAATTAAATACTATGCCATCTGAATTCCACATGGCACAATTCAAACTTGAAAATGTGCTATTTGTTCTCTGCAATTAGACAAGTATAACTTAAGCATATTGGAATTAAAAAAAAAACAAATCTGTCAAAGAATTCAGGCAAAAAAAATATTAAAAAATGGAATCTATTCATTTTGTGACACATTTGATGTTGAAATATATTAAACAAAATTAAATACTATGCCATCTGAATTCCACATGGCACAATTCAAACTTGAAAATGTGCTATTTGTTCTCTGCAATTAGACAAGTATAACTTAAGCATATTGGAATTAAAAAAAAACAAATCTGTCAAAGAATTCAGGCAAAAAAAATATTAAAAAATGGAATCTATTCATTTTGTGACACATTTGATGTTGAAATATATTAAACAAAATTAAATACTATGCCATCTGAATTCCACATGGCACAATTCAAACTTGAAAATGTGCTATTTGTTCTATGCAATTAGACAGGTATAATTTCAGAATGTGGAATTTTAAAAAATCATTAAAAAATTCATTAAAAAAATCTCTCTATATTATAAAAATCCAAATCGACTTCTGGTGATAAAAATTTGGTATTCAAAATTAAGACTTCACAATTAAAGGTCACAAGGGTCAAAATAATGGTCATGAAGGTCAGAATAAGAGTAATAAGGGTCAGAATAAGAGCCACGAGGTTCAGAATCAGGGTCATTGGAGTCAGAATAAGGGTCACGAGGGTCAGAATAAGGGCTGCAAGATGAAGTTGGTCACAAGAGACACGTTAAGGGTCATAGGCGTGAGATTAAGGGTCGTGAGGGCCAGATTAAGGGTCACAAGGGTCAGCTTAAGGGTCATATGGGTCAGATTAAGGGTCACGAGGGTCAGATTAAGGGTTACAGAAGTCAGAATAAGGCCTATGGGGGTCCTATGGAGGTTGGCGAGCGAAGCGAGCAGGGGGCATAGCCCCCTAGTATGTTAAAAAATGAAAAATCATTTTGCCAAGAGAATCCTGTGTCAGTGATAAAATGTGTCAAATTGATGCAGTTGCCTACCTAGTATATGTTTACTCGTTATTCCCTTCTCAGTAATGGTTTCCCTCATTGATTCAATGGACGCTGGGAATATAAATGCTTGCCGCTCTACCATAGGTAGTCGTGTTGTCGTTAATGATGAGAACACAGTGGTATTACTCTGCACTTTTCCCTCGTAAAGCTCTAATGTTGCTACTTCAGTTCTACGACTCTTGTCATTGTAATAACTATAAACGAGCCAGTTCTCAGAGTGAACTATGTGGATAGGTCCGCGCACTCGTTTGTGGGCAATGGAGAATATCATTGCTCCTGAGACTACATCCAGGAGGTACAATGTTATCGTATCTGTAAATGGAGAAAACGAAAAATTGAAAGCAACGGGAGCTCACGATTTCTATGGCTTTTTTGGAAAATTACTTACTCTTGAGAGTGCTACCAACACCCTGGGTAACAACCGCAACTAGATTTGGATTAATATACTTATAAAGTACTGATCTATCACCCAGAACACGTCCCTGGGAGTGGACACGTTCGATTGGATTCTTCGACACGACGTGGGTGATTTTTTGGTTTTTAGGGGCTAGCACTAGTTCCCAGACTTTATGAGCTATCAATTCCTGAAAAAAATGATAAAAATGGGGAATGAATGTGTGAAACCCTAGCTCTTTCAAATAGGGTCAGAAAAAAAATGAAATTTCATGGGAATTGAAATTAAAAGTTCAGACTTCACTGAAAATTCAGGGAAATTACACATTTTTGAACAGCAGGAAGACGAAAATTATCAAACTTCCTCAACTTTTCAATCAAAACATAAATTTTAAGTATGAAATTATATTGGATTTTCAGTGAATTGGGAATTCATGAATATATTTACCTAAATTTTCTGGATTTCTATTAATTTTTATGGAATAATTGAATATTATATATTCAATATTCATTTATATTAATTTCTCTCATAAAATTTGGAAATTTTTAATCACCAAATTATTTGAAATTTCACGGGAACAATAATATGACAAAAACTCAAGGAAATTTCAAATTTTTGTGCAGCAGGAAGACAAAACTTCTTTAATCTCCTTGAATTTTCAATCAAAACATAGAAATGCAGTAGCAAATTACGCTGAATTTTCAGTTAATTGTAAATTTATGAATATATTTACCTAAATTTTCCAGATTTGTATTAATTTTTATGGAATAATTGAACTGGAATTCACCACTTTCATTCATTTTTCTCATAAAATTTCGAATTTTTAATGACCAAATCATATAGGATTTCACGGGAACAATGTGATTAAAATTCAATAAAATTCCAGATTTTTTAGCAGCACAAAGACGCAAATTCCCTAATTTTGACTTTTCAATCAAAACCAGAATTTTAAGTACCAAATTACGTTGAATTTTCAGTTAATTAGAAATTCATTAATATATTCACCTGAATCTTCCAACTTTCTATTAATTTTCATGAAATACTTAAACAGAAATTCACAATGCCCACAAATTTTTCCATAAAATTCAGAACGTCCAATCATTAATCTGCTCAAAATGCCAGAGTTCCCCTCAAATACACCAAAAACATCCAAGAGATGTCCCAGAAATTCTCACAAATTAATACCATACACATAGTACCCTAAAACCCCACCCAATAAGAAACCTTTCAACCTCCCTTCACCGAACCTACCTCAGGTGTGCTATACCCAAGCGAAAATCCAGCCACAATTCCAGTTCCAGCATCAGCAGTGAACAAGTAAGTGCTCTTGCCGCTGGCAGCAGCCACTGCAGTCGCATTCTCCGGGAAAACATGTACCCTATCCCTAGAATCGAGGAGCAGAATAGCCCTGAGAAAATCCTCAGTGGCGTCGTGCAGCAGCATGGACTGTTTGACCTTGTACTCCAGCTTCACCAGTCCATCCAGGGGTTGCCCAGTGATGGGGTTGAACGTATAAATAATTCCCTCCCCCGTGTTCTTGTCAGTTGACAGCAGAGCGCACTGTGGGGGATAGGGGAAGTGTCTGCTGCCCCGTTGAACGTACAATATCAGTGGTTTCGAGTCCTTCCTCTCAGTGGCCATATCCTGAACCCTCAACTGCCAGATGATCTCCCCCTTCTTCGACTCAATACCAAATAATTTTCCCGCTGACGTCACCACAACGATCATCTTGTGAAGGCCAAACTTATCTCTCACCAGATCAGCCCTCTGATTCGACGCCTGCGGAGTCACTCCAAACGACGACTGAAGGAACGATTTCAGTTGATTAAATTGGGCAGTCACTCTCCTCGTCATCATTCCGACGACATCCCCTGAAAGAAAATCACACGTCAGATGAATCCATCGAGTGAAAATTAAGTAAAACAATCAAGAATTGCCTGCAATCTACAATCCTCGCTCTACGACTACAAAATAAATATTATTCGGTGAATTCCATGCGAATAAGGTTGTTAACTGCATTTCAAACGACCCTCAGAGCTGTTGTTCGAATCAATGGGCAGTAGATACGAAAGAAATATTCACCAACCGACGAATTTCTACGGATTTGTTCAATCCTCATGCTTTTATCGGCTCAAACCCCATGCATTTGAATTTTTTTTACACGAATACTAGGTTTTCAACAGCATGGAGCATTGGTTATCTAGCTATCGAAGCCCAATCTGATCTAAACAAAATGAGATAAATCTCCAAACCAGCCTATCCTGCAATAACTACTTACATGAACTGTCTATATCGATACCTGCCAGCAGCCATTCACAAAAGAAACTTTATTAATATAATTTTTCAATTAGTTCATACACTTTTCAGACGATACTTTTCGGTATTACCATCGAGTTTAAATGAAATAAACCCCCAAGTGTGTTTACCATTTCATTATACTATTGCAATTTGTTCTATCAAGAGAGAAGACAATGGAAATTTTATTATTAATTATGAGGAATGAAAAGTCGAGAAGGACCATGCATATTGTTAGAGCATCGCGATGGATCCATTATTGTTGGTGGAAATGCCCATCGACTGGTGGAGCGTGAACGACAGGTGAATGGAGATGACTCACTCTCTTTTTGGTCGAATTCTGTCTCGATGGTTTGATCCCTGTCCGACATGGGAAGCTCCATCATCTCGACGATGGTGATGCTGGCTAGCGCCTCTTCTCGGGACCACACTAGCTTATTGTGCTGGAGGAGCGCTACTCCGTCGTCCTCGGAGCTCATCAAGTGACGACAGATCACTCCCTTCGGCATTCGCGGGCAGATGGAGGCTTTTATGCTCGGGGAGAGGAGGGCTGTGTGGGATATCGATGCTGAGAGCTCTGGCATTGGGGTCGAGTCCAGTAGAGAGGATGCCTTGATCTCTGTCACCTGTAGGAATCAGTGAATGTTTATTCATTGACGGAGTTGACGTGCTTAAACTAGCTAGCTCTACCCTTACGGTAAATTCAAAGATTATTGAAAACTTTACAAAATTACAGAAAACTCGATTAGATTCGGAATTCTAATTTTTTTCTCAATTTAATTATGGTTATGGTTTTTCAAAGGAGAAATGTTTAAAAATCAGGATTTAACCCAGTGTCTTATGTGAAAATCAACATTTCCATTGTCATCAAAGATTAAAATCTGAATTTTTTTTCATTAGATGTGAAAAAATCAAGAATTTTTTTGACAACTCATAAAAAATAATCCACCGTTTTGCAAACAAGTTTTATTATTCATTTATGAGAGGGAAATGTTTGAAAAAATATCAATATTTTGCGAAATTTAATTTAGATAATACTGACTGGGGATGAATTTTTTGAAAATTTCAGTGGAACTATAATGTGATAACAATTTTCGAGAAATGGACCCAAAATTTCAGCCAAAAATTTTTAGTTGCTCTTCTTAATCTTGCGGGATCATTTTGTTTCAAGTATCTGCGTTATTTGATCTTTCTAAATTAATAATTTTTAGTAATACTAGACTATCATTTGAGCCCAAACTCTTCCTGAATATTTCCATTCATATTAACTTCCATTCAAAAATAATTTCAGATTTGCACCTTTAAAAATCGAGATGAGTTTATTTATCTCAACGCAAAACACCAAATATGCAAAAATATATTGAGGAATTCCATTGTCTCGATAAAATGAAAGATATTGATTAATTACCCCATTACGATAAGTAGTTTCCAGAAGTACTTTCTCCTCATCAAGGCTCGTGATATAAAGTCTAGCATCACCCTCAATATCCCTTGGAATGATATTCGGTGTATCACCAGGTATCATGATACGTTTTCTATTATCTCCCTCAGCAGTTACTGATAAAACAGACTCATCCCCTGGTACTGCCTCCAGAGTGAATGGCCCCCGGGCCCCAGCCCCAAATATATTATTACTCGTTACTGAATGTGGCTGTGCATTTGGGTCGAAGAGATTCACTAAGAAGAGGATCGCTAGTGACGTGTCACTCTTGAGACAGGCTAGATATGGCGCTGCCAATACACATCTGAATAATAAAAAAATTGAAATGAAATTTTGATTTACATTGAGAATAAAAATTAATTTTATCATTTTATTCTTTATTTTATTTTTTTAATTTTATTTATTTATTTTTTTAATGAATTTTTTTTAATGAATTATATTTTATTATTATGATATATAATTGATAAAATTCTATTTAAAAATAATGCCTAATTTCATTTCAATCAAATAGTTATTATTTGCTTCTTGATTTCTAAATTAATACTATTTTATAGTGAATACCAGTTAATTCTTCTTGAGATACATTTATTGGGAGAAATGGAACTTCTCTATAATTCAAGTTCATTGTATTTCTCGCAATAATGAGAATATTTGATTTCTTTCTAATAATTCTAATACAAAATTTTGCTGTTCTCTAAAAATTCTTTGGCTCGCGCAAAAACCAAAATTATTCTCACTACTAAATACTTTATGATTTCAATACGCATCTAGATAATAAAAAAAGGAAATTAATGAGTGATTTGTCGTGAAAGAAAAAAATGAATTTTACCAAAATAATTTTATTTGAATCAACTAGATATCATTTGCTCGTTAATTTCCAAGTTAATATGATTTTATAGCGAAGACCAGTTATTTCTCTTGAGATACATTTATTGGGAAAAATAGAACTTCTCTATAATTCAAGTTCATTTTATGTCTTGCAATAATGAGAATATTTGACTTATTTCTAATAATTCTAATACAAAATTTTGCTGTTCTCTAAAAATTCTTTGGCTCGCGCAAAAACCAAAATTATTCTCACTACTAAATACTTTATGATTTCAATACGCATCTAGATAATAAAAAAAGGAAATTAATTAGTGATTTGTCGTGAAAGAAAAAAGGAATTTTACCAAGACAATTTTATTTAAATCAACTAGGTATTATTTTCTGGTTAATTATTGATGGCATTAACTTTTACTGAAATGTTGATAATTCTTCAAATAGTTTATGAACTATTCAATCCTTCCTGTACGCGATGAGTCCAGAGTGTACTGAATTAATCAATTCATCTTTGAATTACAAAAAAAGGTCAAAAGTCAAGTTCTGCCCCACTCTCCCCTATTTATATTAAATTTGCTCCACTATATAATGCTTGTTCCAAAAAAGAAACCCCTGAAGAAGTTTTTTTCCTCTGTGTACTTGTATTATTACGTCTCGAGCTACTTACTTTGTTTCTGCTGTTATAAATGGGGCTGAAACCTTTCTTGTTTTCAATTTCTCCCCAGTTTTACTGTCATACGACGTCACCTCAACTCCACTACTGTATATTGGCAGAATATGGTGAAGGGTACCATCTTTTATGTGCCACTTAACATCCTCCAACCTGACGAAACATATCCACAATCAGAAATATTTCTCAAAAAATACTGAACAAAATTAAGTTAAAGTGAAGACATCGTTCGTGTGATGCTTTGGATAGAGATTGATTCATTAACAAAACACATAGTGTAAATAAATATACATGTGCTGACATGGAATTTTAGAAAAAACCTTTCAGCAGAATATAATCCAACTGTGGAAAATGATAGGAATGGGGTGTCTAGTCTGAAAAATCAATAAATCGCATTTCCAGGATGAAGTCATCATGAGTTATAGAGTGAGAGATCTATTCACACTGTTGAGAGGTGAATAGATAGTTTGGGGGATATTATTGATTTAGCAGTGCTTACCGCTCGGGATTTTGCTCCGCAACTGGCCACTCGTTGAGGATGTGGCCAGCAGCTAGGTCCCAGACACGAACTATTGCTGGAACTCCACCGCTTACTGTTATCAAATCACCATCTGCTACGCCACTCAGGGAACGAATTCGACCTGCGTAACCACGTTCCAATACTCTCCTCCATATTATTTGGCCTGTAATTGGAATATGATAAGTTAGAGAGGATTTTTAACTATGACATTGAGTTCTTTTTCAAGTGCACAAATCTGCAGTATTTATTTACGAAAAAAATTGATTATTTTTCGAGGAAAAATAGTTTAAAAATGCATAAAGATTTGAATTTCTTATAATTGACAAATCGGTTTGGAAAATCCTGTTTTCATTATAGTTTTTGAAATATCGTCACTAATTTTTGCTCTGGGATTATGAAAAAGGGGGGGAAAGCATTTTGAAATTTATTCGTCAAACAAATTTTTTTGTTGATATCTCAAAAGAAAATTGAGATTCTTATTCAAGTGCACAAATCCACAGGATTTATTTGCACTATTGAGTTCCTTTAAAAAGGACACTCCAGAGAAAAAACTTCTTCATTCTTCGAGGAAAAATAAATGTAAGTAAATAATGAGTGAAAATTTAAATTGCTCATAACCGAAAGTTCATCGTAAAAAACATTCCCAGAGTGTGATTTTTTATTATAGCTTTCGCAATATCAACCAATTTTCGTTCCTTAATTACAAAAAATAAGGGAGAAGACGTAATTTAAAATTCATTCGTCAACCAAAATTTTTATTGATATCTGAAAAAAAGAAATTAAAAAAAAAAGGAAGAAAAGAAAGAAGAAATTGATTTTCTCAAGTGAAAATGTAAAGAAAAATAAGACATGAATGCAGATGTGAATTTCTTATTTTCTACAATTAAAAATTTATCTTTAAAAAAAATACCCAGTGTGAATTTTTATATTAATTTTCAAAATATCGTCAGCAATTTTGTAAAATTTTAAGGAAAAATAGAAGTAATTTATTGCAGAAAATTTTCTTCTTTACAACATGTTTCGAGGATGATTTGGCCTGTGAGGATAATATGGTAAATTATAAACAGATTTTTTGCTGTTAAATTCAGTTATAAAGTAGAAAAATAGCAAATTTCCCCAAATATTAAATTATTTCGAAAAAAATCTGTCATATTTTCCCAAAATGATTCTTTCCCAAAGTAAATAAATAATTACCGACACGCTCTAATGATGCCGTAACCCCATGACAAACGAGTATTCATTATTGTTGTACCTGATTTCAAATTGAGAGCTGCAAGCACATTTTCCTCAGTGGCAACAATTATCTTCTTGGCAGTCGATACTGTATCAAAACTAGCGAATTTAATTCTCCCTACGTAATTCTGTTTCCTGTTGATAATTAACATGAATACATTAATATTGAATTATAGATCGTGTTACAGCGAGTTATAACAGTGGAATGAGAGACTCACCAGTCGAATTTACCAACTTGATCCTCGTAGAGGCACAACGACAAATTGAACAATGAAAATAGAATAATAAAATACTGAATAAATTGTCCATCCGTGATAAACCGGTGGATATTTCCCTTGAAAGTCCACACGAACGGTGCCATGATTAACAGCTATATTATCATTGTCACAACTGAATTGGGTTAGGGTTGAACTGGGTGCGGATTCCCATGAGTTGCGAGTATTTCAGCTGGACTTCATGGAAATGCATCCACAGATCACTAACTACTTAACATAGATAACCAGATAACTCCAAAGTATCTAGCATTAATCTAGAGATGAAATTGCGTCACATGACCCGTCAGATGACGGTCATATAACGGTCATGTGACCGTCATTTTTAATTTTCAACTTTATATTTTCGTTTTCCATTTTTAGTCAAATTCATTTCGTATTTTCGTATTGGCCTACTAAGCATTTTTAAATGAAAATTACTTTCCTTTTTCATTTGTGTAAATAAAAATATTTTTTTACTTGTGACCGCTATAAATTAGAAATTTAATTAAATTTTTTAGAAAAAAATTGTTTTTTTTTAAATAGAAAAAAAATAAAAATTAGGATGAAATTAGATGAAGTTTCGTTTGTTTTTATCAATTTCTATTTGAATTAATTTTGTACTATTTGTCATATGACGCGATTTAAAAAATGACGGTCATTTTGCATCTGTAATTATGAACGTCGCTATGCATTCATCTATCGTTGGTTTGCCAACAATTTGTTGACAAATTATTTGTGACGATCGATTGTAGCTAGAAAATTTCCGGAAAAAAAATAAAATGGCATAAAGAATTTCCGGTCATATGACGCGATTTGAAAAATGACGGTCATTTTACATCTTTAAACACGGATGCGCGGTTTATTCCAGATCAGATGCTAGATACTTCGGAGTCATCTTTTTATCTGTATTGAGATGATTATGAAATTTGGACTTCCCTTCAGTGACAAGCGCACGTAAATGATGTTGTTTTGGTAATAAATGTAAATATTCCTGGTTGACAGTTGCTCCGAACATAAATTATATGCAGGGGAGGCTGAAAATCCCGTGGCTTGGGAATTAGTTTTGAGGAGACTTAATGTTAGGAGAAATGTTTCAATTGTCGAATAGTCATTGAACGAATAAAAATGAAAGTTGTCTGTGCTGCACCGAACTGTAAATACTCTTCTGATCATGAAGACTCCAGTCATGTCATTTTCGTCAGCTTTCCGAATGATGATACGTGAGTTTTCATACTTCCATTTATTTATTTATTTATTTTTATTTATATATTAGCCTACAATGAGTTATTGCTTCCAAATGGAAGCTTTCTTATCACTCAAATTTATGTTTCCAATTTTTTGCGTTAGGATAACTAAATATGGTTTGAAAAGACCTAATATATATTTTTGGAATGGTGTATGCATGTATTTTTGCGCGCATGTATGTATGTGGTCTTTTCTCTTCATTTTTTTCGAAATTTTCTTATAAGGGATCAATCGAATTTCATGAATATTTTCATGAATATAGACTTTAATGATCTCTATTCATTGACCCCAATTAAAATCCAATTTTTCGTACAAATTTGAAAAAATTGATATTTTCCAAAAATAGATTTTTCAACGATCACTCAAAAAATTGCCATCAAAATGGAATTATTCACGGCTCAAAAAATTGATAACAATACCCTCTTGATTCTATCAGAATATGATGGGGGTCGCACAATTCGTTGTTGAGTTACAGCCCATTGTTTATGCGATTTGAAAGAGAAAAACGGGTTTTTCATGATTACTGAAAGAATCATCAGTAATAGCAATTAAATCAGGGCTTGAAAAGTATATTTCAATGGCTTCTTAATCAAGTTGAAAAATGGTGAGAACAGCATCATTGCTTATCAAGTTACACAATACCGTCATGAGCTTTTTATATCAAAATCTCTATCTCTATTAAACTCAGTCACCAGTCTATCATGTTGAATACTTATTCATATTGCTTCATGCTCCCAACTAACTTCTGACAGAACCTGGGTTAAACTCTGGCTAAATCCTGAATAAACCCTGATTAAATCCCGGCTATGCACCGATTAAACCCTGATTGAACCTTGATTAAACCCGGACTGAAAGCGAATTCGAGTCTTGAGAGGGTCTGAATGTAGAATTATTTGACAGAACGAAATAATATACAAAATTTTGATGACATTTCAATCGATGAAAGTACTATGACATGAAAAAACAGAAGAAGAGAATAGTGAAATGAGAATTAAAACAAGAAAACCCATTCGTAGCACATTGCTAATTTATTAGCAACGATAACTGCACTCATTTATAAAAAAATGCGATTGTCCACTTGTTTCACTGATAATTATCGTAATTATTACCGTTATTCCTCAGGGCTACTGTGTGGGCCCACAACTGCGGTAGACCAGACCTAATAATCAAGTCAAACGAGGAATTACACCTCAATTACTACATTTGTTCGGACCACATAGAAGACCAATATTTCCTGAGCAAAACAAATCAGATAATTATCACTCAAGGGGCAATACCAACTCTCTTCGGTGTTCAAATGCAGTCAGGGCGATTGGACTCATTAAAACCCTCATATTCATCCACCGACGTTATGAATCCCCCAGAATTGAGCGATTGCCAGGAAAACTACGTGGGTGCAGCCTCGGAATATCAAAACACAATTTACAATGGTAATATCTCCAGTGATAACAACGGGGCGGATGAAATTAATGGAAATGAGGAGGTGCAGAATCAGGAGGAGAACAATTTAAATTTTGAAAATATCAACGTTAATATGGAGCAGTTCGAGGACATGACCATGAGGTTCTTGAACCTCTGCAGGATTTGTGGAAAGAATGCCAGTGAATCTATCAATATATTCGATGGGAGAGAGGATGGAGTCACTCTCCAGCAGAAGATTAGACTCCATTTACCGATAATTATGGAGAGTGGAGATGGACTGCCACAGAAAATATGTGGGGAGTGTTGTGGGAAGATCGAGAGCTCACATGAGCTTGTGATAACTAGTTTACTGAATGATATGAGATTGAGGAAGTTCTTGAATTTACCAAATAAGGTGAGAATTACATGGTTTTGTCTAGTTGGAGACAGCAGATTTCTTTAAAATTTGAATATTGAAAGACCTTTATTTATGCCATGATAAACAAAATCTTTTAACGGCAAGAAAGAAATTATACAGATAATTTTTCAGCATGTGCTTCAAAAATAATGGTCATACATTTCATTTTCAACTCATTCTCCCCCAATTTCAAAGTAAAACAAGTGTTAAATTGCTCTTTTATTGCATATGTGTAGTTATTTTTGCTAATAAACTAGCATTTTGCTTCCAAATGGTTATTTTGCACATCATTTCCTTCTGTAATGTATCATTCATGGTTCATTTCATTTTATTAAATTGAATAAGATTTCTTTTCAACTAATTTTGTCAGATTTTCAACTTAGTTGAATGATGATCAGAAATATTTAATTTATACGTACTTGAATGAATTTGAAACATCACATTTGAAAAAACCATCAGAAAGCTCACTTTCAGGGAAATTCATGAAAAATTCGAAATTTTCAACAATCATCGTAAAAATCAAATCGACTAATATAGCTATCGTAATCATCTTTTAACTTCGACTTAATGGCATTAAAACAAACATTTTAAGCTATGATCGAATTCATTTGAAGCATGATATTCAAAGATATCCCCGGAATTCTGATTTTCAAAAAATACAAAATTTTTGTAAATTTTCAAATAAATCAAAATAACGATTATTGCTATCGCCTTCATCATCGAACTCGGTCAAAAGGACATCCAAACAAATTTTTTAAGCCATCGTTCAATCAATTCAGAACATTTTTTTAGTTATCGTGGGACAAGCGATTTTTGAAAAAATTCGAAAATTAAAAAAACCAATCGATGAATTAAATTTTAATTAATGGCGATTGATAGGGCTCGACAATATCTACATGAAACAACGTTTCAACTCCATCCATTCATTAGCGAACAATTAACGCAAAACATTGTTACATACGGACACACATACACACGTACGAACGAGGTTTAAAAATGGCATTTTCGGACTTTTTGGATTACACTGGATCGATATAATCCAAAAAATGCAAAACTTGAATTTGAACGATCACACAGTTTTCATTTGGAAGCAAAAACTATTAGTGAATCGAAATTGAGAACAAGTTCAACAAAATAATAAAATTATGGTAATACGAATGCCACTTAAAATAGTCAATATTATTTACGAACTCTTCCATCATGTTTCGCCGATACATAAAATACTTTAGGCGAAAAAAACCTCCACAGCTTCCCCTAAAATCCCTAAAAATGCAAAAATGTCAAATTTCATCTCTTTTTTTCTTTTTTCAGTACAATTACGAAGAAAAGTATAGATCCCTCATATCAAAGCACGAGTTACAATCAGCAGACGATGCATTCTTCGATGGTATCACATCCGGGAGCTGCGATCTCCCCAAAACTCCCGCAGAACCAAGTTCTCCACCTTCTGAAAAAGAAAAACGCCTGAAATTCGTATTACATTCAGACCTGAACAACTTGATCCTCCAGCCCCTGCATTTCCAAAATGACGAGAGAGCCAAGACTGATTTGCAGAGAGATGCAGTGGTATCAGCGACTGAGGTAATGATTGATCAGCAATCAGACGAATTGAACTGTTCAGATGGGCACGAGGGGTTCCAAACTGAATGTGAAAGTACCCCAGTATTGACAGCAGAGGGCAATCCTCAAGGCGAAGATGCTGTACTGAATAATAAGGATGATGGGGCAGTGGCACCTGAGCAGGGGTCAGTGAGGTCTAGTCGTCGCTGTGGCCACTGCTCCCAGGCCTTCCTCAATCGCAAGGACATGCAGATGCATCTGGCTGAGGCGCACAGTGGCGAAGGGGCACTATTCAAGTGCGGAATGTGCGATAAGTCGTATGAGAAGTGGTCCAGCCTGGATGTTCACGAGGCCACTCATCGCCAGGACAAGCCCTACCTCTGCGATCTCTGTGGAAAGAGCTTCAAACACTCGAACAATCTCAGAGGGCATAAACGAGTCCATCTGGATGCTGCTAGGAAGAAACGACACGTTTGCGAGACTTGTGGGAGTGCCTTTCGATCGAGGTAAAATGGATATTAATACAAAGGATGAAACGAGTCACAATAGAATCACAATAGAAGTATTGAATAGTTCAATAGAATTTTTTCAATAAAGTCAAACGGAAATACACGGAGAGAAATGTTCAGTAAAAATTACGGAACTCACAGTTCGCTCACCGATTACGGAATCGACTCAGAACATTTTAAGTGACGGTATCGTAATTTTTCACAGGGGATTCAGGTAAAAATTAAAGAACGCTCTGGAAAAATTTCGTGATTTTAAGTAAAAATTACGTGACAATTCCGTAAAATTTTCTACAACCACATTTCGCTTCGGAATTACGGAAAAGATACTTAATTTTTATTGAATATTTCTCTCCGTGTGAAAACCTAGCGAATTAGAGAGAAAATTGTATTGGAATTCTATTCAAAAATTCTGTTTTTTTCGCAGATTCTATTGGATATTCAATAAGAGAAAGTCAATAGATTTCGAATGTGTTTGAATTATTCTCCTAGATTTTTTCCATTAGAATTATTTGGCACCAGTTTTCCAAGTTTTTTCCGTTTGATTTTATTTTGTTTTGAATTGCAGAATTCGAGTGGAGAAAACTTGGAAAATTGATGCCCAAGCATTTTTATAGGAAAAATCTCAGGAGAAAAATTCCAACAGAAATTCGACTATTCGAATATTGACTTTTTCTTATCGTATATCCAATAGAATCAGCGAAAAAAAAACAAATAGAATTCCAATAGAATTTTCTAGCGAATTCGCTAGGTTTTCTCTTGAATTTTTTCATACGTGAGAGGAAATCGCTTTTGGATTCATATAGCAAGGCTATTTTTACGGATAAATTACCAATCTACTTCCGAATGGTGATTTTGCACATCATTTTCTTCTACTGTATAGCATTTGTCCTTTCGTTATTTTGTTCAATTGAATTATATTTCTTCTTTAATTAATTGTGTCGGATTTCTTGTGAAAATTCTTGTATAAAGCGAATGAAATCATGACGCTTTGTATACTATATGTTTAATGAATGAATTTTCAACGTCACATTTGAAGAAATCGTCGAGAGATCCAGTTTCAGAGAAATTTTAGAAAAATTGAAATTTGCAAAAATCATAAAAATTAAACCGTTGGATATAGTCGGACTTTTTGGATAATAATGTGTTGATATAACACGAAAAATCCAAAACTTAAATTTGACAGTTTACAAAACTCTCATTCGAAAACAAAAATGATCTCTAATATCGCAAAAATAATTTCTTCAGGTGAATATATCATCCATGAAGTGTTCACATTCAAGTAATTAAAAAACGATTTCTTGGCCCAAGGAATCGTTTTTTTTCGATGTCGTTATATGATGATATTTAATATAAGATGATTTTTATTTGTTGAGGTTTCATCTTCGCGAACATATGAATCAACACGATGGAAACAAGCCCTACGTGTGTGAACAATGTGGAAAGGCATTTTCGAAGAGAATCCAACTACGACAGCACAGATTGTCTCACGGAATTAACAAATATGCCTGTCCAATCTGTGGAATGACTTTTAATCGAAGGGGCAATATGAATACACATTTCAAGAGGCATAGTAACAGTGATGGCACGTATAAGTGCAGTGTAAGTCCTCTTCATTATTTAATGCATGTCTAATAGGGCATTTAAGAAACGAAGGTTTTTACTCTTTTTTTATAAATCTCCGGCAATAAAATTCCCGACATAATAAAAAACAAGTCGACAATTACATTTTTTTAATAAATGTGGATAGTTATTGTTGCTGATAAAGTAGCAATTTGCTTCCGAATAGGTTCTGTTTTTTAAAATTCTTATTTCACTATTCTCTTCTTCTGTTTTTTCATGTCATAGTACTATTATTTATTGAAATGTCATCAAAATTTTGCGTATTATTTCGTTCTGTCAAATAATTCTACATTCAGACCCTCTCAAGACTCGAATTCGTTTTCAGTCCGGGTTTAATCAAGGTTCAATCAGGGTTTAATCAGTGCATAGCCGGGATTTAATCAGGGTTTATTCAGGATTTAGCCAGAGTTTAACCCAGGTTCTGTCAGAAGTTAGTCGGGAGCACGAATCAATATGAATAAGTATTCAACATAATAGACTGGTGACTGAGTTTAATAGAGATAGATTTTTTTTATATAAAAAGCTCATGACGGTATTGTGTAACTTGATAAGCAATGATGTTGTTCTCACCATTTTTCAACTTGATTAAGAAGGCATTGAAATATACTTTTCAAGCCCTGATTTAATTGCTATTACTGACGATTCTTTCAGTAATCATGAGAAAACCGATTTTCTCTTTCAAATCGCATAAACAATGTGCTGTAACTCAACAACGAATTTTGCGACCCGCATCATATTCTGATGGAATCAAGAGGGTATTGTTAGCAATTTTTTGAGCCGTAAATAATTCCATTTTAATGACAATTTGTTCAGTGATCGTTGAAAAATCGATTTTTGGAAAAATATCAATTTTTTCGAATCTGTATGAAAAATTGAATTTTAATTTGTGTCAATGAATAAAGCTTATTAAAGTCAATCTTCATGAAAAAAATGATGAAATTCAATTGATCCCTTATAAGGAAACTAATGATTTCTATCACAAAATTCAACAAAAAGATCCAAAAACTGGAGCAAAAAACTCAAAATATCTCATTATCACTCGTCTTCAACCTAAAAAACATTAATTAACAGAAAATAAACTATCCAAAACATTCATTGAATCAACACCAAAATGCAAAATAAATTCCCAACCGAAGAATTGAGCCAAATTATTCCAAAGCATATCGAAACAATTTTTTTTCATCTGTTCAAGTAATCCTTTTCTTCAAGTTTAATTTTTTTTCTGTTCCCTTTTTATCGAGGGGATAAACTACCTCAGTTTCTAAAAAATCTACAGTCGAGTTATTTTATTCGTCAGATAGAGAATATCCTGTAACTGAATCTCAACAGACATTTAAAAAATTGATATTCTTCAGGTCTGCGACTGCAAATGTAAATCGATGAGCGATTTGAAATGCCACCGGAAGAGTCACAGCTTAAACGACATAATCGAAAGTATAAAGCAGAGATCAATCGACCAGACGATCTGGCAGTGTGCAACCTGCAGCCGAGTATTCTCGAAACGCACACACCTGTCTAATCACGAACGAACCCACAAAGTTGATCAGCCGAAAGTCGAGTGCGATAAGTGCGGGAAGAAGTTGGCGAGCAAAAGCTCCTTAAGGTATCACGTGAAGTCGATGCACACGTGCGAGAGAACCCACCTGTGTCAATTCTGTGGCAATGCATTTGTCTCGAGAGAAGCCAGACTCATTCACGAGAGAATCCACACTGGAGAGCGACCCTATTCCTGCAAATTGTGTAATATGGAGTACAGATGCTCGAGTAATCTCAGCCAACACATGAAAGCTCACGCCGAGGTTCGACCTTTTGTTTGTCAATATTGTTCCAAGTCTTTTACACGGAGATCAGCTATGACCGTTCACGAGAGGATTCACACCGGGGAGAAACCATTCGTCTGCTCTGTGTGCAATCGTGGATTTTCCCAGAAGTATGACATGGTGAAACACGAGAAAACACACGAACCCAAAACACTGAACTGCGAAAAGTGCCAGGAGACGTTTAGTTCGAAGAGCGAAATTTTGAAGCACCTGGAGTGCAGCCACAAACCAGAGCGACGGGCCACTGACGCCGGTGGAGAGTATGTTGAAATGGAGAATTTTGATGACTACTCGTTGAATGTCGAATGTCCTGTGGGAGAAACTGATCAAATGGATGAGATTCAGTATTCGTGATTGTGAACAGATTTTTATGAATGGAATTTTAAAATTGAGCAGATCCACGCCAACAAAGTCGATGCTGAGGATTTTTGTCTCAATGTTTTTCTGAGAAGATGGGGATTAGACAAAAGTTTTCGAAAAAAGAATTGAGAAATATCGATAATGGAGGGAGTTATGATTTTTTGAAAATGATTAGTTTTTGTCAAGAAATTTTGTTTTCCAAATTGGCTTCAATATTCCTCAAAGAACATGAAATACCTTCCAAAATGAGACGTCATACGTAGAATTATCTTCAGTTTGACGGGTTTTATATGAGAAAACGTTTTTTCTCCAAACGTTAATTACCAAAAAGCTAATGTTTTTAATCTGACATTTTCACCAAAAATTTCCAATAAAAAGAAAGGAATTTTGGCGCCAAATAGAGTTTGTCTCTCGCCATAGTTCGGCGGTTATAATTTTTTTCAGTGGGACAAGTATTGAAAATGACCGAAAATCGTTATTATTCATGCAATTATCCCCCAAATGAGTGAATATTCAATTGAATACTTAAAAATTAGTTAATTCAATTGAATTCTCGATTACCAACAAATGAAAGCTCCTTGAAAAATGTATTTCCATTGTATAATTAGAGAAATAATAATTTTTCACTCAAAAAATCATGCTGAAGATGAATAATAGAAGATGTAATGAGTCTAACCTCCACTATTTACTAATATTTAATTGAATATTCACTTATTTGGGCGGTAATTGCATGAATAACAGCGATTTTCGGTCATTTTCAATACTTGTCTCAATGAAAAAATTAATAACCGCCGAACTACGGCGAAAGACAAACTCTAATTGGCGCGAACATCCTTGACATTTTATTGACAATTTTCCGTGAAAATTTCAGATTTAAAAAAAATTAGCTTTTTGAGTAATTAACGATTGAAAAAACATTTTCTCGTATGAACTTCGTCAAACTGAAGATAATGTTGTGCATGACGTCTCATTTTAAAAGGTTTTTCATGTTCTTTGAGTGTGCAAAAGGCAATTTGGAAAAACAATTTTTTTTTACATAAACTACAAATTTTTAAAGAATTATAACTCCCTCAATTATCCACATTTTTCAATTGTTTTTTTTTTTAAATTGTTGTCTAATTGTCATCTTTCCAGAAAAAAATTGAGACGAAAATCTCCAGCATTGACTGTTTTGTCCTGTCCCTCAAATTGTGAGAAAGGATAATAAATTGTAATAAACATTGCTACACAGAGAATAATACCCTTTATTATTTTTCATGAAAATTCGAATTTTGAATATGCTGAAATGTCTGAGAATTTTTATAACTACTCTTCCAATGTCAAATATTCAATGGAAGAAACTGACCAAATCAATAATCAATCAATTCAATATTCGTGATTGTAAATAGAGTTTCAAATGGAATATTATAATTAAGAGGATAAGGAACTGCGAGGAAGGATAATAAATTGTAATAAACATTGCTATATATAGAATAATATACTCTTTATTGTTTTTTGATGGTTTTTGTTGCTGTCCATATTGTGTGGTTTCTCCTTTTTTATTGTTTGTTTTTCCAGTTTATCTTTTCGTTTTTTCCACTGCCGATATTTTGGTAAAACAGTACGTGATACAATTTTTGCTGCTAAAACAACGACCGATCACACGTTTGCATTCTGTGACTTTGAACCGCTTGAGACTAGATTTGTCGTTATATTTTTCTTCTTTGTTTCAATTTTGAATTTACCTAATTCATCAGATTGCTTTGAAATTTGTAACGTGAGTCGACAGTTCTGCACTTGAATTATCCAAATTAATTCGTTCAATTTACGGTTTTTTCGTTGCGGTGTTTTGAAAAGTACAGAGAAATTGCGAGTGATCGGCTCGCTTTTTAGAAATATACTGTGCATCATGAAACTTTGTTTTTGCCTATTGTTTATCTATTAAAGAAGTACGCGAAAACTCGAAGCACACAGTGGACAAAGCGAAACGATAAAACTCGTAATTACTATATCTTCTCATAAATAATTTAATTATTTAATTCGAATTTTGTCCATCGATTCAACAATTTTTTTTTTTCATTTTCCATTATTTTTTTTTTTCATCTTCATGGAATTGCTCGCTTTGTCCCGTTATTTCGAGTTCACAGCGTCTGTTCTTATTCGATGCAACTTTAACTCTGTCTTTCTGTAAACCTTCATCCTCTGCGCTACTATTTACAATGTACAGTGTTGTCTTTCCTGCCCTAAGTTTCCCGAGACGTCTCTCGATCTCCCTTGATCCACGATTTTTTTGATAAATGGCAAGACATGATTAACTGTAAAATTCGTAAGATTTCAGGGGAAAATGACATTTTACCCACATGTTTTTGGAATAATAGAGATATTTTCTGGGATTTTTTTCTTGTAAAGAGCATTTTCAATCATTTTCTTATCATGAAAAAAAACATGGAAAATTTTTCTTAAAATTCAGGTGATAAAAGAAGAAAATCAGGAAATATCTCTCATATAATTAACATAATTGTTTTATGAAATTAATGAAATTATGATTTTTGAATCATTTTTTTATCTTAAAAAAAAATTGCCGAAGTGTTAGTCGGATATAATTCGACATAATAATCTGACGAAAGAAAAAATCAGGAAATATCCCTATTGTATTCAACCCTCGTGATAACAGGGATATTTCCTGCAATTTTTTTTCTCTTATGAAAAAATGATTTAAATTAATTGTTTGTCAAATTCATTTGAGTGTTTTGGAGATATAATTTTTCATTCATTTTCGTAAAAAAAAATTGCCAAGTTTTACATCAAATTTAAACATAATTTGACATAAATAGTTGATTTTTTAAAATCAGGAAATATTACTGTTAGAAGCAACAAAAATATAAAGTTTAACTCATTTTGAATGCATGATTTTTCCTCAATTTTTTTTTCTCATAAAAAAATTATTCAAGTGAATTATTTTGTCAAATTCATCCAAGTGTTTTGAAATTATCACATTTCAATCATTTTTTATTACAAAAAAAAGAATTTATGATGTTTTACTCCATGTTTAGACGTAATTTGATATAAAGAGTGGAATAAAAAAAATCAGAAAATATGCCTGTTAAAAGCAAAAATATAATACAAAAAAATTAAATTTGACTCATTTTGAATACATGATTGTGATTAAATCCCCATGTTCTCATGATAATAGATATTCTCTGCAATTTTTTTATAAAAAAATTATTCAAATGAATTATTTTATCAAATTCATCCAACTGTTTTGAACTTATCACATTTCAATCATTTTTTATTGCAAAAAGAAAGGAATTTATAAAGTTTTACTTCATTTTAAGATGTAATTTGATATAAAGAGTCGAATAAAAAAAATCAGAAAATATTCCTGTTAAAAGCAAAAATATAATACAAAAAAATTAAATTCGACTCATTTTGAATACATGATTGTGATTAAATCCCCATGTTCTCGTGATAATAGAGATATTCTCTGCAATTTTTTTATAAAAAAATTATTCAAATGAATTATTTTATCAAATTCATCCAACTGTTTTGAACTTATCACATTTCAATCATTTTTTATTGCAAAAAGAAAGGAATTTATAAAGTTTTACTTCATTTTAAGATGTAATTTGATATAAAGAGTCGAATAAAAAAAATCAGAAAATATTCCTGTTAAAAGCAAAAATATAATACAAAAAAATTAAATTCGACTCATTTTGAATACATGATTGTGATTAAATCCCCATGTTCTCGTGATAATAGAGATATTCTCTGCAATTTTTTTATAAAAAAATTATTCAAATGAATTATTTTATCAAATTCATCCAACTGTTTTGAAATTATCACATTTCAATCATTTTTTATTGCAAAAAAAGGAATTCATAAAGTTTTACTTCATGTTTAGATGTAATTTGATATAAAGAGTCGAATAAAAAAAATCAGAAAATATTCCTGTTAAAAGCAAAAATATAATACAAAAAAATTAAATTTGACTCATTTTGAATACATGATTGTGATTAAATCCCCAGGTTCCCGTGATAATAGAGATATTCTCTGCAATTTTTTTATAAAAAAAATATTCAAATGAATTATTTTATCAAATTCATTCAACTGTTTTGAAATTATCACATTTCAATCATTTTTTATCGCAAAAAGAAAGGAATTCATAAAGTTTTGCTTCAAATTTCGCAATTTGATATAAATCATCCACTAAAGGAGAAAAAAAATCAGGAAATATCCTCACGAAAACCAATAAAAATATGAAATTAGGCTCATTACGAATCCATGATAATGAAATCGCACTAATAACTCCAAACACCAAAGTCGAACCAATTGATCGACTAGCGCCGAGAATCCACACGACCAGCGTGAAGAAATAGCGCAATTAATAATAAAAAAAAAAATCTCCATTTGTCATTTCAACAAGTACTAACATTGGAAGATGAATTGTCACTGCGGGAATAATGTCGTTAGCACGATTCTCGATTAAGTCGATCGTCATAGGCCGAACGAGATTGGAGAGGGCAGATAAAAAAGGGGGAGGGGGGGGTGGGGGTGAGAAAATTGATTTTTTAGGCTCAAGATTGATGAATTCGTGGATCAAGTGAGACCCCCCAAACCGCCTCGTTCACTTACCAAGGTAAATATATAGTAATCTTATATATATACTTCTTGTTCTCATATATATGTATATATATAATATATAATATCTTATGTATATTTTTTAAATTTTTATACCTATTTTTTTTATCTCGTCACTTAAAATTAACCTTTTGCATTACTATTTATACTATTTACAATTGTTCTTTCTTGTTTTTTTCTTCTCTTCACCTTTTGTAGTCACCGAGTAATCAATAATTCTTTATTGTGAAACGTATAAGAAACAACTATGCCGTGCACAGCCCACTAATCTCTCGAGCAATTGCATTATCCGTTCAGTCGCACTTCCGCGTTACATTTTTTTCTCTCACTTCCATAGCCCTTTAGCAAGGACAATTATTCGATTTTTGGGAGGATGAAACTAGCAGATTGTTGGCCAGGGGAAATGACAATTTGGGGAGTTCGGTAGCGAAGCGGTAAAACGGTTCTAGTCAAAATGAGACAGTCTAATTTTTTTCATTCATAATTTCGGAGGTCATTTCGAAATGTCATTTCGGATTAATGAAATGGTAGTTTTGAGAATACAATGTTCAAAATGCTAAACACGCTGTTCAAAATTTTCAACTCCAATTTCGGGACATTTTTTGGGAATTTTTTTTGGGAATTTTTGGGAATTTCGTCACTGAAAATTGACCATTTAGGGTGGTATATGATGAATGTATTCTGGAAATTTCAGGAAATTGCAAATTCATAGTAATTTGGTGCTGAATATTCCCATTTTGATCGAAAATTAATTGAATTTATTGAAAAGTTAGTGAATTCTCAGTGAAATTTCGAAATTTCACAATTTTTTAGTGCAAAAGCCTCCATGAAATTGAATAAAAAAAATGATGCGGGATATTATCGGCATTTGCGATCTGTAGTAGTTCATTTGTTCATTCGTAGTTTCGCAATTAATTTCTCTGGAAAATTAAGGTTCTGTGACGTTTATGAAGATGAATAAAATTGTGGTCTTGAGAATACAATATTCAAAATTCAAACCTCAATGTTTAAAATTTTTGACTGAAATTTCCGGTAAATTTTTTGAAAATTTTTATCAAGTGACAGTTTCACTGAAATTTCAAGGAATTTCATCACTGAAAATTCCCCATTTACTGAATATTCACTTTTTGATCGAAAATTTCATAAAATTTTCCTCTTCCTGCCGCTAAAAAATTCGAAATATCATTAAATCCTCACTTCAATCCGAAATTCCACAATTTTTTACTACTAAACCGGTAAAACGATTCAAGTCGATTTTGACCACCCGTCAGTTTTCACTGAATATCTCGAAATCCACGCAAGATACCCAAACTTTCATCATAACCTTTTTTGTAGCCTTCAATTCGCTCTACAAAAAAGGTCCTGACAAAAATAGCGCTATCCCCCTTAGATTCGGAGATATTCCTCGAAAACTCAGCTAAGATCCAAGTCAACTTGAACCCTTTTACCACTTCGCTGCCGAATTATTAAGAATGCAAGGGTCAAGCCATCATTTGAGCAAAATTTTCTCGATTTCCTCATGACTTAAAAATCTTTGAACCTCTCCCCCCCCCCT